ACAACAACAACAACAACAACAACAACAACAACAACAACAACAACAACAACAACAACAACAACAACAACAACAACAACAACAACAACAACAACAACAACAACAACAACAACAACAACAACAACAACACAATGACAGTGCAACTATTGGGGAACACTTGGATGCGGAGCTTGGTGACACCTATGAGGCGAGGGCTCATGACACGCTCTCTCACGGTTAAGCACAAAATACTTGAAAAAACTATAGAAATTGTATCAAACAATTTATTGCGTATTGGAAGAAAGAGTGCCCTGCATACTATGCACTTGGAGTTCAAAAGAACACTGAAGCGGAGATGGCGTCACCCTGCATGGACTTCTTCAATGGATCTTTCACAGAAGATATTGTATCTTCCAGAATTAATTATAAATTTGTATTTGGCTTTCTTGAACAAAATGTGGAGATTTAAAATGGGCCAACCAAAGGTAACTTCCGCTCTTATGAAGACATGCGCAAGTATAGGGATGCCCTAAACTATGGGGCCAAGGTTAGAGGTGAACACTTGCCAAGAGAATTTTGTGATAAAATTGATAAGTATCTGAAATCCTACCAGAAACGATACAAAAGCAAGAAGAAGAATGGCAAGGCAGAATCAAAAGATGCTGATCCAATTACTTTTGAGCTGTACTCGCTGATACTGAAATGGGCGGCAGAAGAGGGTAACACCATGGTTTTGTTCTGGACCCAGACTCAGTGGAACTGCATGAGTTGAACTTCGCTGATTGACCCACTGGGGTTTCAGCACATGAAGGTTGTTTCGGATTCACATGCAGTTGTCCATGATCGAACAAAGGCAGATCAAGAAGGAGAAAGATGTTTTGCTAAACATATTTTTGCTAATGAAGAAAATTGGCTACTATGTTAATGGATTGGTATGGGCTTGTATTGTGCACTAAATGACAACAAGTTTGAGGGCAAGAGAAACAACAAGTTCTTCTGGGAATCATGCACCAAGCCAGGTACTGCTGCAAAGAAGTATCAAGAGCAGCTTTGTGGCCTGATTCACAGTACCAAGGCAAGAAAAGAAGCAGTGAAACAGCACTGCCAGCTGGACCATTTTAATGCTTACGGTTTGCGGAAGGGACCAGCAAGCCTGCAACCTTGGGAACCACAATGCCTCCGTCCATGCCATCTATTTGTCACTGTGGTGACTGGTCCATGGAACATGTCTTTGATGCCTACTTCAAGATGCTTTCTACAGGCGATCAGTACTTGGGTCAAATACTTGCGGGCAAGGACCCAAATCTTGCATCCTTCAAAGTCTTGCCCCCACACTGGAATGTTGAAAATCCACTTCAAGATCTCAGGATATGTACGGCATTGCTAAAGAACTTTTGGAAAATCTTGGAAGACCATGGGGAGCATGGGGAAGGCAGTTATGACCCAACCGGATTGTTGTTGTGTTGTTTGGCTTGCATGGTGTGGCACTCCAAAGAAATCTTGGACGTCATCAATAGCAACCCTAGTCACAAACTATCGATGGTACCGCTCTTCCAACCCGACTCCAATCTAGAAGAACTCAGAGCTCTGGTTTCCACAGATCCAACTCCAGGTGTCATGACCACTGTTACCGGTATTCCTCCGCATATTGAAGTCGCTTGTCAGCTTAAGAACATGAGAAAAGATCTGTTGGACCTCATCAAAGCAACAGAGAAGAACAAAAAAGATCGGAAGGCTGCAGAAAAAGAATTCAGGGAACAGATCACTAATGCAGTTCAAGAATCCATTGAGCAGGAAAATGTAAACAATGGAAACGTCTAGGAATAGATAGTTATTAAGATTAGGAAAGCACACGGCTCTTCTACCTGTAACACCCATCATCATGACCATTACGGACTTCACCATGCGCAAAAAGAGCTACCGCTACCTCACCACCCAGGCAAGCTACCCAAACCATGATTCCAAGGCGGTCCTCAATGCCTTTGATCCCACCAAGGACCTTTGGCGCCCCGGCCTGGTACACGGGATGGCCCAAGGAACAGGTGAACAACTTTCACTTTTGGCATTGCCCAATGATTAGGTACACAACGGTTGGCGAAAAGAAAGAGCAGCATTTTGATAAATTGTATGTGCTGGACCATGACGTTCTGGAGAACGGGAGCAACCCACTGGCATTCTCTTGGCCAGCAAAGGCCTTCTCGAAAATCGATCCGGTTAAGGTGCCAAAGTTGGAGGTGTGGTTGACAAACGAGGAGCTTGAGCAGGATTGATCCAAGTTGTTCATGATGGAGGATATTACTGACAAAGATCCTGAGACGGCTTCCGACCTACTGGTTACTTGCAAGCAAATGCCCATTCCCAAGGAGTTCTTGGATATCACTTGGGACGGATTGTCGGCACGCGAAGTCTTGCAATTGGTTATTGACAGAATCAAGATTCTCGCCAACAGCGAGGAGTCTGAAAAAATTACGGAAGTGCAGGAGAAGTTCCGGCACTTCCTGGACCATTGGCGCGTGGCAAACACGGTCATCTGGAGAGATCAGCTTTCGAAGAACGTCGGAGAACCTGCTGTTCTCACTGCAACATCTGCCCGACGCTGGATTTCCTGAGTAATCCATTTGGATTTTGCCGGATTGGACTTGGAGGACTCAATTGGAGATTCCTCCGACAAGACCTACAAACTGCTCACCAAGACCTTGGCAGCCGTTGAGGAGAGTAATAAGACGACCAAGACCTCCGTGGAATCGCTTTCGGAGGTAGTGGTAGCGGGTATCCATGGACAAGCATCAGACAAGGCGCCCCCAAATACAGTGGAAAAGAAGTGGCCCACAAGGCTCTCCTATGAGAAGAGAGTTGCTGGTACTACGGCCTCAGCTCAGCTTCCCACCCTCTGGCACGAGCTAGCAAAGTGTAAAAAGCACGAATCAATTGGAATTGTGCAGTCCCTGCTGGACGATGAGGCCGAGAAACTGAACCTCAATCTGGAATTCAGTGTTTCAGCCCAAGTAATCAAGTGCCTGGTGGAATTGGAATTTTGTCCGTGCAACGACGTTGAAAAGGGTTTGAACATGTTTAATAGGGTCTGTTTCCAGCACTACAAAAATGCAAACGCAATCAACAATTACAACAAGAGCGATTATTGGTTGACGGGCAAAAAGACGACCGCTTCAATGAAGGATCATCAAGCCCACGACAAGATCAAGCATGCTATCTTCCCAAAGGATCCCATGCAGTTCCATGAGATGGTCAATGGTATGCGGGTATTCTACCGTGTAGTGTTTGGGAAAACTCATCCACTGTACAAAAAGTTTGCAAAGAATGTGGATTCAATCGCACAAAAAATGGGAGTGTCCCAGCAGGAGCGAGCACTCAAGCGATTTCTCTTTGGAATCTATTCCCGAATTGATTGTTACTTTGAGCGTTTGGTAAGATCCGGCACAAACGCAGAAGAGAACCTACCCGACTTGGGCACTTACATGGAGACATGCTACCATGGAGGAAGCCTACCAGAGTCAAACTTGTTTGTCGTCGCAAACGACTCTGTCAGACTTGGTGGAACAGGAGACAAGACTGACAGTCAGCTGCAGAGAGAGAAGGAAAGGGCCCAGAAGAAGAGCCTGGGCGAATCAGTAAAAAATCCTGACATGAACAAAGAACATCGCTACACCGGAAGAACTACTACTGAGTTAATCAAACGGACAGGCGAACAGCCCCCAAAGCATGCCAACGGAAAGGAACTGTGCCTCATTTGGCACACAAAAGGGCGAATGCAAGGTGCACTGTGAACGCAAGCATTCTCATTGTAAGCTGATTGGCAAGGAAGCAACCGCAATGAAGGATTATGTAAATAAGAATAAGTGAGATGGAGGCCGGGAATCATCGGATTCTTGCAGGCCATCTAAATCGGACCCACTTTTGTTACGATCTACTTTAATTGGCGGTAGTGCTAATACTATAGGTGAGCTGGTTGCGTTGGCTAATAAAACTTATTTAAAACACGGTTGGCAAGTCACTGCTCGTTTATTCCGTTCAGATGATGCTGCACCAGACATTGATAAGCTTCTGCACCGTGCCGCACCAATGCTACACCGAGTAATGAAAAATGGGGCTCCTGTGGTGGTTCATTTGGAGCCATGGAGCCAGAGCCAACTTGACATGCGAGTCGCTCGGGGCTGTCACTCATCAGCAAATGAATTCAAAGAGTTTCTGATGGAGGAGTTTTTGGATTTTGGAAGGAAGGGATTTTGGATCCTACTTCCATATGACGCCATCAAGGACAAGAAAGTACCACAAGATAACAGAAGAACGCGGATGATTGTTGATTATTCGTTCTGGGGACTCAATTCAGCACGAGCCCACTACGCATCCGCGAGGCACTCATGAAGGCAAACCCGGACTATGGGCCAGTTTTCATGTACAAGAACGACATGTCGGATGGTTTCTACCCCATCCGACTGTCAACTACCGGGCACTCAAGCTTGGGGTCATCTTACCGCGTTTTGAGGGACTTCCACAATTGGTTGCACTGCCACTTGTGCTTCCAATGGGTTGGACAGAAAGTCCTCCATGGTTCTGTGCTTTCACGGAAAACGTTGCCAACCTGACAAATGTTGACTTGCAACACAACAAGCGAGTGCCACTGCATCCTTTGGGAAGGGCAGCAGCCGTCACTGACTTTGAAGTGAGGGACACACAAGTCGTGAGACCTATACCAAAATCTCACCAGCCACTGAAAAAGATGGAAGTATTTGTGGACGATTTTGTTGGAATGGGCCAAGACCATCCAAGCAATCCTTTGACAAATCAACAAGCTGTCCTCAGCCACAACATTGACAAGGTCTTCCAACCAAATCGACCCATGGACAATCAGTGGCGAAAAGAGCCACAGTCACAATCAAAAATGGCTAATTGAGATGCCTCTTGGCACACAGTCAAAGAAGCCTTGGGTTGGAACTGGGGAGCGACAACAAAGACATTGCAATTGAAAGAGAAACGAGTGAGCAAGGCCCTGTCACTCTTTGGCAAGGTCTTGGATTGCAAACGCGTCTCCCTGAAACGATGGCAGCAGGTGTTAGGAGTCTTACAAAGCCTGCAGCCAGGAATGTCGGGCAGTGAGGGACATTTCTCCCTGCTACAGAAGCCGGCGCAAACCCCCACAAAGAAATGACTCGTCTGCCTCCTCTTCCACCAAACACCGCCACAGCGGCGGCATCGTGACCAAGAGGACGCACGGCTGAAGACTATACCTACTTACAAATTCTGCCAGTAGAGTTTGCGAGGAATGACGAAAAAGCGCAAGTATCGACCAGAGTACCGGTACGACTCTGCTAGGAGAATGTAACAGCATGAGGAGTATTGTACTGCTGGAAGGATCCTCCCACTACCGGTGCTACCCTCACATGTTCAAACTTATCATAGAAGATATCTCTTTCTAGATTGTAAACTAAAACAAAGAGATTATTACTTACAATTAGGAGGTGTACTGTAAGTATCAGTAGTTTCTCAGACCTCGTTTCCTCATGTCAGGTGCAATCAAAGTGTTGAAGCAAGATCTTTTCCTCATTGCGTTTCATTGGTCCCATGGAAAATACGGACACGTCCGCGACATTGCAATTTGGCGCCAACGTCTTCCCTTCTTGCCCATAAAAAAATTGTCCGTTCGCACACACAAGGCGCACCGCTCTTGTGAGCATGCTGAATTTTTAGAATGTCGACTTCGTCATCATCATTATCCTCACCTACTACTCCCATCTTCCGGCAGTCCAAAGAAAGCTGTCCTAACATCGTTCATTTGGCTGTGAAGGATCCTCTAATAAACGAAGGACTTGGTGGTGGCTGCCCGGAAAGCATAATGAGATTGTTTAAACGGAAGAAGAATAAGGACAAGAGCAGCCGCAATCATCAGAGGCAAGAGGAAGGAAATGACAATAAAAAAAATAGCATCCACGACAACAACCAAAAGACGAAAAAGAAATCTCTGCTGAAGCGAATATTCAAATCAAACAAGAAAAAGATCAAAGGGGACAAGAAAGGGAATCAAGGGGTCAAGCAGGATCATACAGAGACAACAAGGGATAAGCCGGGCATTCTTATCCCATCAGAGACATCAACAAGAAGTGTCATGGGGGAACAAGAAGTACAGCAGCAGCAGCAGCAGCAGCTGATTATTGAAAATGAAGTCTTCAAGGATAAGAATGAGGAAGGTAATGCAAGCACTGAAGTGGAACTGAATGCTTCTTATCATTCATCGTTGCATGCGCCGCTATCTGATTTCTTGATGGAGCAGGAATCACCTGAGGCTACGGCTACTAGTACCAGCGAATTCCTGAAGTTGGCGTCATCGCCAGTTCCAATTTACAGGGACGATGATGATGAGGATTCTGATGACGATTATGACCCCCATGACCGACAAAAAGGAAGCAAAAAATCATCATCACAGCAACATACAGAAACTCTGGATGTCACACAAGAGCTTTCCTTTTCCTCATCTTTGTCATTGTGGACCAAGAGTTCTGCTGTGAAGGTAAACAAGAAAGCAGATGATGCTTCTAGTGACGACTTTTACAATGACGATGATTTGAATACTACTGGTGACTCGCCGGGAGCTCTCTACAAGAGGGATAGTGAACAAGAAGAAAGCGAGGATGAAAGGACGTTCAATGGCCTCTTTGAAGAACAAGTTTCTGCACTCGAAGACACACTCGAGCAAATCAAGAGTCTAAGTGATCAGGAAGATAGCAGCAGTAGCAGGACTGGTAGCTTGAGCCAAAACGAAGAGGAAATGCCAGTGGCGCCACCTGAGTCGCCACCACACGTTTCTCTGATACTGCCAAACCTTTCCCCAATCAAATCATCCAAGGTTGGGTCACCTACTAATGCTGCGGTATCGGGCTATGAATCATCCAGTTCCTGGTCCGCCCCACAATCACCATCGCCTACCACAAACTGCCTCGATAATATTGTTGGAACTTCCACTCCCACCGCAGTGTCACCAATTGCCTCTCCGCTACAGTTGAAGCAACGAACCCGACAAGATCGATTTGCCTTGGCGGAAAACAGCACTAGTAGTACCACTGGTGTGAACAGTATCACACGCAGCTATCATTCCAATGATGAAGAGGCAAGCATGTCCACCAATAATAGCGTATACTTGGATTGCGTTGGCGACAATGCGGATGCGGATACGAATGCAGGATCATCCATTTTCACAGCAGATGGAGAAGTTTGCAAAGATCTGCTGGTGCAATTCGATGAGTACTCCAATCAGTACTCCTTGGGATTGCAGGTTCGCAAACTGATGCAAGAACGAGACGAATTGCTGGCCAATCAACAGAAAGAAAGGGAATTGCATCAGGGCAATTACAAAGCCTTTTGTGAGAAGATTCAGAGACTAGAGGAAATCTGTAGCAAGCAGCGAGAGCAACGGCAATCCTTTGTGGAACAATTGGCACATCAATCAGTATTGCATCGGCAGAGTGTATTGCAGCTTTCCTTCCTTCGCAAACAGCAACAGGAATTCAAACAACAGCAGCAGCAGCAGCAGCGACAACAACAAGACGAAAACCCGTGGACGCAACTGACGGCAACAGCTCCAGTTCCAGCTGCCGATGATATGTTAGAACATGTTCAAAGTGCAGTACAGAAAGAGGGAGCGGCAATTTTGGATCGCTTCTTACTGGATGACCAACATCGCGAACAGCTGGAGGAGCAGCTCGAAGACTCCCTGAATGAGCGACATCAACTGATTGCAAAATTTGGCCAAGAGTTGGGGAGTCAACTAGCCAGATACAGGCAACTGGAAGATCGATTTAAGGCAGAACAGAACAAGTACAATCGACAAGTCGGTTTGAATGCGCAATTGGAACAACAAGTGTTCCATTTGCAACAGGATTACGAAGAACTTGAAGAGAAATACACCCACCTGCAAGATTGGCAGGCCGCTATAATCCGGAAACATGAGCGTCAACAAAACAAGCGTGCGTCACCGGCCAGGCGAAAAGATGAATGGACAACTGTCCTTGGGGAAGCTGGCAACAACGACGACGATGAAAGTGACATGTCGATCATGGAGGCTTAGATATCGAATACATGGATTGATTCTTCTTCACGGGTGAAAACACATCAACAAACAATTTTGCGATATATGACTAGGCAACATCATTAGACTCCCAGATATCGTATCCTATGTATTTGTCTATGAAAACAAGCCATCAAGGATGCCTCCTGGATAAAGCCCAGCATTCTTGGCAAGAGCTGCGCCTGCCTGCATGTACGGATGAGCAAAGTAAGCGCCTAAAGTACCAATTGCAATAACGAGATAGGGCCCTCGCACGAGCTCCTTGTAATAGTCGTCTGGCAAGACTTGGCGGCCTTCAATGATGGCTTGGAATGGAATGATTGATGTTCGCTCCTTGACTTTCAAGAAATTCTCGCCGTGTTCTGCGTAGTATCGTCGGTCTCCATTCCAGCAGGCAAAAGTGTGATGTCCCACTAGGAGTGCCATTGTCAAGGCTGTAAAAGATGTTCCTACCATTGCCAAATGGGCAGCACTCCACATGCTTTGTCCGACAAATTGTGGGTGTCGTGTGATTCGGATCATCCCAGTCTCCCATAGGTGAAGCGTTGGCTTCTCTACTGCAGCAACCTCCTTGAGATTAAAAACCGATGGATAAAGAAAGAAGAAGCTCAAGAAATTGATGGTCCACGCTATGGCATGAGCCGTTGGATTGTGGCTCAAATCATAATATTCGATTCCGTCATGAGCGTGGGCGATAAAGTAGGCGATCCAACTGTAGGCAAGGCATAAAGATGGAAATGCAAAAATGACCCTCCACATCCGGGCACCAACAATCTTTTCTCCAAAGGGACGCAAAGATGCCAAACCAGAGTGGACGAGTGGAAAGAAAATACCAAAGATGAGTGTAACAATATGTGGGTTGCCTCCAGCGATATTCTCCAAAGCGTAGATGAAATCATCCGAGTATCCCGTCGGATGATACACCCATAGGACGATTACAGCTGTCATGATAGTTCCCACGGCTGCTGAAAATGTAAACCATCCTAGTTCTCCTAGTTTTCCCCATTCTTCGTTGTTGATATTGAAGGTTCCAGCATCTTCTCCAATCATCAAGTCATTTGATCTGTCAGAATCTTGGGATCAGACAGAGTTTGTAAGATTCGATAGCATGAAAATATGTCAACATGAAGACCCAACAAGGCGAAACTTACCGATTGTCTTTGTGACAAATGGTATTTCAGGAAGACCACCACCACCTTGAGGTTCAGCAGCATGCAAGCAAGATTTGGCAGCAGAGGCACGAGAACAGGCCAACGACCTTGGTCCGGGGGAAAAGGCTGAAGACTGTGTCGACAAAATTGCAAGGATGGCGACGAAAGGCTGCGATTTTCTCATGGTTACCGATGAGTGATGAGGTCTATGGATACTATAATATTGACAGGCAAATCTTCATAGTGTCAATATAGCCTCAATGAAGTGTGGGAAGGACGTACGACAGTGGCGACTGAAGCGACTCAAATCAGTCCAGGTGATCGAAGCCTCAACCCAACACTAAAATCTATTTGAATTTTGTCCGTCATTTGTGTGCATGAGCGCGAATGCGTTTCGCATTGCCTGGTAGTTTTCTGCCCGTGACTTACCGGGTATCTTGGTCCATATATATGTTCAACTGTCTGCAATATATATGCCCAAGACCGCACAGGATCGAAATAGTTAATGACCGTTGTGTCTGAGTTAAATAAGGCATAATAGTGGAAGGATGTGGACAAATTTGCTTCCTTCGTAGTCTTATTCTCCGCCGATTCACTTTTTCACAGTTGCGAAAAACACTGCATTGGAACTCCCACTTCAAATTCTCGGAAACGGTACACACAGACTGTAACAGCAAACCACCCATATAAACTATCGATAGCTATGTTCGATATCGTGTATGCAGAAGATGACCTATCCTCCATTGGATCAGAGTCCGCATTTGGTGACGACATACCATCAGATGAATCCGTTGGAAGTGCAGGATCTTCGCTAGCAAGTATTACCTCTTCGTCGCTGCTGGGAGCAATAGACGGGGCTACTCGCACCACAGCAGATGATTTGTCAACATACTATGATTCAGATCTAGATAGTGATTGTGAGGATGACGAAGATGATTATGTTGATGAAAGCAGCATATCACATCACTTTCATTCGTGTGACGTCGAGGCGACAGATGACGACTTGTCGTTTGTTTCAGACGATTTTGACCTGAATCTCAGCTTTAGTGATGATGAAGACGAATTAATTTCAGAATCAAATCGGTTTGAACGCACTGTGGAACTAACACCAGATGTATCATCACTGCGGAAACGAGTACCTTCCGAATTTCACATTACATCGCCGGGTGTAGAAGACGATAAGGCATGCAAATGTGAATCGTATTTGGATCCTTCTCAGAGCCGAGAACAATTTTTTGCTCACGCAGCAAAGGTCATCCAACACGGTTTAGCAACAAAGAATAGTCGAGTGCCTGGGATATGCTCGTTAGACTCGTCGTTGCACTTGCAAAGGACGATGGTTCGACTGCCATCTCGCAGTGTGTCACTGGACGTCAGCGTTCGGTTGTAATACCAATTTTGTGGGGATAGACAATTTTAATTTTGTATCATAGCTACATGAAACATCACAAATGAATTGGACTGTCGTATGAAGGTTTTGGGCTAGCACCTAGAACTGAATTTGGGTGCCTAACGTACACCAGTGTGGTATCATGGTAGTAGCAGCTGTGTTTATTTATTACCCGATAAAGGATCCAATTGACATTCATTACCTATTTGTAAATACAACATTATAATGCCCATAATGCTACTGTACGTGTCAGGAGCAAAAGAGCATAATAGGCCCGGCATTGGCATGTACAATTAGAAGCACTCGCTTACTGAAGTAAGTCGAGAGAATCAAAAGTCGAGACAAGTAAAAGTCTCTCCGACCGGAATCGAACCAGTGACCGATGGATTTATGCTAGAACTACAGTCCACCGCTCTGCCAACTGAGCTACAGAGAGCCACAGCCACAAACAAATTTTATTACATTTCAAACAGTGGTACCTTCAAGTTTCATTTGCGATCACGATCAGAAGAAGACTGCAATATCTGGTGAAACCCAAACGCCACAAAGCTAAAGTCATAACTCAAACAACTATTATGGAAGCTGGAAATTACCCGGCAAAAACAAAAAATCGGCAAAACACAGTCATTTACAATAATTGCATCATGGTTCGCGTAGCATAAGTGGTCCCAATTATGCCAGATGAATGGTATGTAACTGACTACCTGGTACTTTTACTGTTGGGTTACTACCTTTCCTGATACATTTTCTCATATTTTCCAGCTACACATCTCGTATCGTTCATCCATTGATTGATTCAAGATGCCCCCGTCATCAGAGCTTAGGAGCGGCAACGATTCTGTGGAAGAATCGGCGCAAATGCAACCAGTGAGGCGATCTGTAAAGTTCGATCAAACTGTCGAATTCAGCGACAAGGCAGTTGGGAGGCTGGTATCTGAGGAAGAAGACGAAAAAGCTGCGAGGATAAGAGCCAGGGAACGCCATCGTTTGAGAAGGGAATGGAGTGGCGAGATTGCTCCCTCAGCGCCTATTTCAGCAGGGAAGGCATCTCCACCGGCACGCCCTGTAAGAAAGAGGTCCGTCGGTGCCGATACCAAACCAAAATCCATGGCTCCCTCATGTCCCCAACGTAAGCGATCAATTGGATTGACTACCGTGGATATTCCAAGCACATACAGGTCCAAATAGCATTTTCAGCCTTTCATGACACGATGCGCCGAATATCCTGCTCCATCACCACCTTCTGCTGAGATGGATTTTGGTGTCACAAGGATTGATTGAGGGTATGGCCTGTGCATCAGACGGTTCTGATCACATTGCAACACGAAGATAATTTAAAACTGTTTACTATTGTACACTGTGCTATGCTTTCTTCTTTTGATTTTTCATTCTACAGTATGGAACAGAAGTGTGAACTCGGTCCATCAGTATAGTGGTGGTGGTGATACTTGTCAATAGCAAATGGGACGGAATAAGCACAAACATACTATACTGTATATAATAATATTTCGATTTGGTAAATATTTTTCTCCACCGCTACAGTAGTGCATAGTTCAGTCTCACATTCTTCGTGTTTCAGGCCAAGTGAGACCGACGCGGGGAACATCTCAACGAACTACTGTAAGTTCAGACAACACGTGAAGAAGATCCTTTTCACCATCTACCGATCCTACCAGACGTTCGTTGACGCGACACCATTCAGAATTTGTTTCGTCGAGGTTGACAAGCGCAGTCCCCTCTTTCCCCTCACCTAGGCGGAGAACATTATCATCCGCAAGGACAAACTCCAGATACAGTCCAACTTACGATCATCCACGTACAGCAATGAGGTCCATTCACCGAGTCTCAGAAACAGCACTGAAAACGTAAGCATGCATTTTTAATACTCATTGCCGAATTACCCTAGCTTTGATTCCTAGAGCAGATACTTAGAGGTATTGACCTCACCTTGCATTCAGAATGCATTGCTGCTGTTGCGAAGTCCTCTACAATCTTACCAAAACACAGGCCCTTTTAGTAGTATCTTGTAGTATACCTGCTGCTGGTGGCATAGCACCGCAGTTGGAACGTTGAATGGGGGCTAAGAAAGTCCCGGCCCAATCTTGAAATATATTTGTAAATTCGCAATGGTAGCGTTTCGAGACTATAATTCCATTACTGTTTCATGTGAGAAACTATCACAAAAAGGAAGCGGTACTAGAATAAAGCCGACGGCAATAAATAAAATGTGTGACAGCGGGGAAAGTATCTGAATTCGGTATTGTGATTTTCAGTCTTCTCGCCCACATTTTTCATGGAAGACGATGGATATATTATCGAAGACTAAGGTGCATCGTGGCGTCACCAAGAATATGAAAGCTGTTAGATTTGTTGATCCGACATGTCGCTTTGATAGTGGATCTTCGATTTCAGACTCCCACGCCTCCATACCGATGAAATCGGATGAACTACCAGCAGCACAACATCATCAGCAAAAGTGCATAGAATCTTTCAGAGACCCAGACCTCTACTGCGTTGAAAGAAGGAGCAGCATTTCTGAGCAAGACATTCTACAAGATATCCCTCGAAGAGATACTGCAAAGGCTGATGGAAGTCCAGTAGAATCAATATTGAAGAAGGGAAAAATTAGCAAATATTCTGCAGCTCGGACTCTCTTTGGAAGTGATAGTTCCTTGGCATCCAATCCATGGAATATCTCGCATGACTCGCATGACCTGATTGCACCACTCATTCCAGAGCGATATATTTCGGAAGATGTCAGCACTGATGATAGTCTGGAGGCGTCCATAGATTCGAGCATTCCAACAGCAAAGCAGAGAAGGGAATCAAATCGAGATGTGTTTCTTCGCCAGTTCCTCAGAATAGATGAAGTCGGCGACTAGGAGATGCTTCAAATGCAGCAGAAGCTACAGGATCGCCATTTCGAGCTCATCACAGTAGCGTCGGGGAGGTACTTGTGGTTTTGTAGACAAAGCAATGCGAGTCTTGTCCGTGTGTACTGAGAAGTACGAGATTGGTTTGAAACATGGCGAGGTTTCAGGAGGAAAAAGGCTAAGAAACTAAACTAAATATTGCTCTCTACCTTCATATATTCTACTGTAGTTCTGTCGAGGCTAGCTGCACCTAGCAATTTAGGGTTGGGGCAGTTGACATCAGTAATTATCTCTTGTACTGGCATTTCCAGGTAGACCTTCTGTAGTTCGTCAAAATCATCGTGGTGGTCAGTCTCTTGAGTGCGGCCAGAAATTGAAGTTTGACGGCATATCTGATCGATGAAGCATTGAAGCGCCATTGGAATATTGGAAAAAAATTCTTGTTGGTTCTTCTCCACAAGAACAATACATAATATTTTATAGTACGAACCATAATTCGTCGGAAGATCTTTCCTTTCTTGTGTTGGTAGGCGCTGGTTGATCAGGTTCCTTTGGATTATTACAATACAGTACTGTAGTACATTTTAAAAAAAATACAGTTTACGCATATCACCGACATTCCACGGTACAATAGGCAGTCATAATTATGCTGCGGTCATGCTCAAAGCGGATAGAAACAGAAAGGAAAGTTCGATTGACCACATATCTGATCAAATGTTCAAGTGGCATATACTTAATGAAAAGAATGTGTATGCTACCACAAGAACAACGATCTCAATCTTCGGAGGTGACGATCAGATAAAATAATCGGAATCTTTCATGTTCCACGTTATGCTGTACCGCGGAGTCGATTGATCGACCAAGAGCCTCATAAAATCACAAGCAACTTCAAATGTGTCGCCTCTTTTCCAGAAACAGACTACACCTTACCAATGGCTTGGCTGATGCCAGGCACGTCAGATTCTCCAGCGTTATAGTCTTCAGTGATAACACTCGTGGTTGCCTCCGACAGGTCGGAAATGTGAGATGCAGTGATCGATGGGCATCGGCCGTATCATCTCTTGCAAAGGACCAAGAAAATAAACTGCACTCAAGAATCCTCGCAAAGCACACGCCACCCCGGGAGGACTATTCAAATGGCGACTCTTTACCGAAAGCACCGACGCGGCAGCTCTCCAACAGCGATCCTGCTATTTTTCTCCAAGCTATCTCGCCCTTGTAGCAAATTGACCAGCTCGCAGATTTGATTCCCAAGGCAGAAGCTGAATTGTGACTCTCACAATAGAAAAAAAGATAAAATGATATTAAGTTCGAAGAATATTATACACACGCTATATAATACTTGTTGATATAAATACTGTGTGATTCTTACTATTGTATCCAGATCGAACGTGCAAGCAACATGCTATCATCTACCCCGCGCGAACTTCAGCCCTATCTGATCCAATGCACAACAAAAGTAACGATGCTCCGAGCCACCTTCAACATTCACATCTCCGTGGCTCACAATCGATCCAAAGTTGACGACCATTATTGATTGTCCCATTCCCAGAGAAGAGCTTCAAAGGTGTCTCAGTTCCATCTAATGGTTGGTGTGTAGGCTTTCCATTCTCATCGTGCAGCAATATTCTTTTGTCTTCATCATTTTCATCAGCCTTTTGGGATGAAGATCGCAATAAGAATGTCAAAGAATTCCTATTCACACCTCTTTGTTTTGCATACGCCTGAAAGATGCGACTCAATTTCATCGATTCTATAACTTTGAATTCGGAGCTATTCTTTTCCGATTGGTCAATACATTGAATGAAGATGGTAACGCCAGCTGATTGCGCCTCCTTTGTCTTGATGCTACTTGCGCCGACCGGAAGCTGGACCATGGGCGGCCGTTCATATGCCCAGATTTCTTCGTCAAGCTCGACAGGTTCACAATTTTTCCGTTGGCACAATCGAGACCTTGTGTTGGCAATGCGCTTGTTCTTAGTCTTGCTATCCGAGATCGGATTATCATCTGCTGGATATTCGACCCTTTCGCCCACCAACAAACAGCAGTATTTAGTGTAATTGTGTGTGTCCAGGATATGTTGGCGCCACATTTGGTGAACCACTGTAGATGGCACAATTTGGTTCCCCTCGAAGTCGTTCGCATCTTTCTTCATTTCCAAAAAGTCCATGTACCCCATCAGAACTCTATGGCTGAAGGTTGGCGACCAATTCATTACTTGTTGACATCTTCGTAGTAGCCTTGAAGCTCCAGCTTTCTTTGGATCTGATTCGCAGTCCCACCAACAAGTTGCCGCATTCAGCTCGCCCATGTTCGTTGGATACAGTCAACAATCGATTGATCAATACGTATTGGATATTGTTGGCGTAGATGCCGTTGTTACTTATTCGAATGTGGTGTCACCAGTGCGGCCCTTTCATGTTGATCCAGAACTTTTATTTCAAACGATTTTGTGAGACTAGCCGTTTTATTGCTTTCGAGCGGGCATGGCATGAAATACTGCTGGACCCGCCTTGTGCTGGTTGCTGGTGCACAAACCGAATTCGCGCATGAAGCCCTGCCGCCGTTTCTCCGACTCGCACGATCGCTTTGACACTATTGTATTTATTTTACCCATGAATGAATTCTAATTCTACTGTACCGCACATAAAAAATATTGAATATATCACAATGACATCCAATATTGTTGCCACCATGAAGCAAGAGCGCACAAAAGATAGGGCAGCGCTCTTTCCGTTAGAAGCGAATCCAGACACATTAAATCATTTCTTGTCCTTGATTGGATTTGATGTTCAGAAGTATCAATTCGTTGATGTCCTCAGCACATCAGATGAAGACTTGTTGAATCTTGTCCCGCGTCCAGCTGTTGGCGTTTTGCTGGTGAAGCCATCCAATGCACCAAGTTCCGATGGTACCGATAGTAAGCCTGGTGGTGATACTAGTGTGACGCATGAGAATATATGGCACATCTCTCAAACGATTGGTGGAGCCTGCGGTTCTGTTGCAGTTCTTCATTTGATTGCCAGTCTTCAAAAATGCTTGGTTTCTGGACATATCTGCAAATCGAACTCTTGGTTGGAACAGTTTTTATCTAGTACTACAAGAGATCTAGATGAAGAATTTCATCGTTTGCACAATGAGGCAGCCTGTCATCAAACCAACCAAACGTCACATGCGAAACTGATACCAGGCAAACGAGTTGGGACTACGTTTGTTGCACTTGTGCCAGTTTCAGTCGGAGACGACGGCAATCAAGGTTCTATGAGAATCGTAGAGCTTGATGGGAGAAAATCAGGACCAGTTATACACGGGAATACTTCTAGTTGCACCTTCCTACGGGATTCTTGCCGATGGATCGAGCAGAACGTTATGAAGTACCAACCAGATGGAAAGTTTGCTATTCTTGCCCTTGCTGCAAACAAGAGCGCGGAAGAATAGTTGTGCATTGGCGCCATGCCATCAGCGTACCACTACAAAAGCTGAATCTGCCGGACATTCCAATCAGGAATTGTACGTTCACGTTCTCTCTGAAGTTCGGTTCTGTGAACCCGAGCTTGTTCTGGTGAAATGGTTCCAGCGGGGACGAATCCTTGCTGCGTCCGCACTTCGCGAGTGGAAATTATTCTTTTTTCTGGATTCACCAGATAGAAAACAATCAAGCGGAGTTTATTCGTGGGACAGTCAGCTGTTGCTTGCTTGAAAACATTCATTTTCGAGACATGGCAATTCGGGAATACCAACAGGCGACCTGGAAGAATATCGGATTGTCCCAATGGCAATAGACCTGCGTGGATATCTGCCTCCACTTCAGATGATCGATCCCGATCGATGGTAGAAAACAGGTAGTTTGCCTCGTCATTGAAAAAGGCCCTTCGAAACTGGATGGTTCCCATACTGCCGTGATGATGTTCGTCCGTTGGTAAAACGTACATGACTGTGGCAACAATTTCCTCATGAGGCATACCCTTCACGTGCCAACTTTCCTGCATACCCGTTGCCGTGTTCTTGTGTGTTGCGTTCAAGTCATATTCCTCAATTTCGGTGATTACTTGCAGCGATTGTCCTCGCAGAAGTGTGGGTTCTACCTTCAAAGGAGATGGTGGCGATGGATGCCACGTTTGCTGATTCGATTCCACCATTCGGACATGACTTCGCTTTACTACCCGGCAATAACTGTATACCGATTCCAACAGCGGCACAGCAAGTGAAAATAAATGGGCCAAGGAGTCATAGAGTGCGGCATATTCGGAACGGGGAACGAGATTGTTGATATAGTCTCGAATGGTTGTGCTTTTGCCATCTGGGTCAACATCGAAATAAGTTGGCAGCCATTGATATTCAAGTGAACCATTGTAGGAACGACCCCAATAGTCCACAGTTTGTAGGATGGGTGGGTCGAGGTGATGAGAATAGGGAAAGGAACATGGAGGAACATCCCAAACGGAAAGTTCCAATGTCGAATGAAGCTCGCTGTAGGAATAGAGGTCGGGGTCCACCAAGGCGATTCGCCCGGCCATACGATGGGTACTAGGCTGTTGTTCCTGTGGGCGTCGTTCTTGCCACTGTCGAAACGACAGATTGTGTACGATTGAGGGTCTGTTTGCTGTAGTGGCAGAAGCAACATTGCCAGCAAGGGCATCCAGTTGCTGCACCAATTGCGTATGACGATCACTATTGCTGCCAGCAAATAATAGTATTCCATCCATTATCCCCACTCCTTCTTGGACACTTTTTTCTTGACAGGTTCGCCACAACCATTCCAGTGGCAAAAAGGAGTCGGCACCTTGATCTTCGAGTCCAGAGTTGTTATTCTCTGCGGCATCTTGACGATCATTGTTATCACTTTCTTCTGGGACCAGTAGCTGCATCAATTCCCACCAAGCAAAGCTCATTGGAACATGACAAGTATAGTAATGTTGGGGTAGAGTTTTTGGTTCATTAGCCTCTGCTTCTTTGTCGCCATGATGAATGTCGCCATGATCACGAAACTGATCCAGTATTATTGGTTGCACATTGTATCCCTTAAATGTCGCGTAAGCGTACCTTTGATCATCGCGGTTATCATTTCCATTGCCGTCGCTCAATGATAAGTATTTGACAAATGGTACAATGGACTGGTTCAGTGTTGGTGTCAGTGCATCACCACCGACACTGGCGTTCTGATCCGCCGTGTCAGTAGTATTGTCAACCTCATGATTCCGACAGGAACCTTCGCTCTCATTATCATCATTATCGCTATCATCGTCCAAGGGTGGTTTGGGTATACGGACTTTGAAACAAACCTCTTTTGGATTTGGTGCGCTGTCTTGACTGTCACTGGCATGTTCGCTATCTGATGATGGTGCTTCTTCTTCCTGATCCAATAATCGAAAGCGAACCGTAAAGATGACTGGTACAATGCGGCTTTCAAAGGCAAAGCATGATTCGTCTTCGCTTACAGCTGATGCTTTGGTCATGGTGTCATTGTAGTCTTCCATGGACAAGAACATGCCTTCATTCAAGGCTTCTTCTCCTAGAGAGCAAAATTGAGGCCATGAATCCGTTTGCACCAAAGCCTGACAAAGAGATGCAAAATCATTGTGGTTTTGGTCATCGTCGTCGTCGTCGCCAAATGTGACTCTTTGAGAAGGAAAAATGCAGTAGGTCGATGGGATTGCATCACACACAATCAGCAGAGACTGTACTGATATGTCTTCTCTTCCATCCTCTCCTCGTCCTCGTTTCTCGCCACCATGGTGCGTATTCTTGATACTGACGGATTCCCAAAAGTCCAAGGTATGTTGCCGTGATGATGATGATGATGATGATGTATGATGGTCCCAGAGAATAAGATCTTGCCAAACGTCCAGACCCCCGTATCGCTTCCCTGCGAACCGATATTGATTGGCCAAATGTACCAAAGCGGGTAGGAACTTCTTGGGAGAATTATGGTATCGTTGAGCAGCAAGAAAGAGTCGATGGGTCGGTGCAATGAATTCAGTATCATTATTGGACAAGACTTCACCCGTGGTATCTGAATCATGGCCATAATCATAACATACTCTCAGAAAGAGTGCTGATGGAGTTTGTCTTATTCCATAATCATCTGTTATTGTTATTATTGTGGGAAGATAATGATGCGAATGATGCTCCAGAAAATAAGGCAATATCTCGTTCTTCCATAATTTACAGACTTGGCGGAGCCTAGCAAATTCTTTTGTATTTGTCAAGACAAGAGACAGAATCTCAGCCATTAAGATGGGATTGTGAATCAACAGCTGTGATGAGGATTGCGGTGGGACCTGATCATCATCCTCCGTTTGCTTATTCTTGGCATTGTCAATGGTGGATTCGTCAACATCGTCACTAAGAATCGTCATGGACAACAATGCAGCGGATACTCTTTGGCATTCTTGCTGATTATTCTAAGCAGAGTAATGAAGTCCCATCTCATTAACAACAACGTGTGTCACACAATGAAGTGGAATTATTAGAACGAGCCAAGAAGCTTTCTAAGTCCCATCTGTTCTTCGATCGACTTCGGCGACTGCCTTCTTTTTGGACACGCGCGTCGCATATGAAGTACTGAACTCGAGCCTCAAACAGACCTGACTACATACTGTATTGTCTTGTGTTGTTTGATTCGACATAACACCCTTCCTTGTCCTCTACACGTATATACCGGTACATCGATCCTCAGCCATGACACGAATTTCTCGCATCTCTCATCAGCGGCTTCTAGCGCTCGTTGTGTTATTGATGACTAGTAGAGTTATTGCGGTCGCTGGTGCGGATAATGATAATGACAGTGCGGTCGTTTCATTGACATCCGCCACCTTTGAACACGAAACCCAAGCTTCCACTGGTCAGACCACTGGCAAGTGGCTGGTCAAATTCTATGCTCCTTGGTGTGGACATTGCAAGTCTTTGGCACCTGTTTGGGAAGACTTGGCCACTGTGGTTGCCAATACAGAAGAAGAAATGACCGACTTTGTGATTGCCAAGGTGGATTGTACCGAAGAACGGGACGTCTGCAATCGATTTGAAGTGCGAGGTTTTCCTACATTAAAGCTGATTGCCAATCATCAAGTCTATGACTATAAAGGTGGAAGAACCTTGGAGGATCTCAAGGCTTTTTTGAAAAGTGGCGACTTTGGAGAAGGAAATCCAGTTCCAAGTCCTCCTTCGTGGGTACAACAAAAGATGGCAGAAAACAAATTCTTGGCGGCACTCAACGAAGACTTTAATCATATTGTCAAGTATAGAAAAAACGCGGCGGCTGTTTTGGTTGGAATGGGTGTGATTTGGGGAATGCTGATAGTGGCGTTTTTCCAAATGATCTTTGGTGGTGGTGGTGGTAGTAGCAGTAGGAAGACTTCCAAGGCCAAGAAGGAGTAGACCAGCTGGGTTGCATTGAGTATGCCATGTCGATGAAGGGTGGATGATAGGAAAAGGTCTTGTCTGTTTGTCCATTTTTATTACGATTAGGCAACCAAATCATTGTCAGTAGTAGCTAATCGAGTATGGAGAATTGCTTTGACTTGTCGTCAGGAGAATAGAGAAGTGATGAGAGGAGTTAACATTTCTAAGTATTACATGTACACAATTTTAATAGTTTTCATTCAACAATACACCGGTGGAATAGGAATAATAATATCGCATAGCATCTGGTACGTGTACCGCGGTACGACATGAAACGGTTCCTTGAGGTTTTGAGGGAGGGGAACCAGCAATATAAGCAATAAAGGAGGGATACCCGTATCGTACAGTACTGGTACGCACACGGTATCATACACGTCATCGATCGGCGGAAATTTCATGAAAAATCAAGAGATACGCGATGATGACCATGATGATGCTGCGTGGTCACAATAACGACTGAGCCAGAGCACAGCGCATAGCATTGTGAAATTTTAACTACTGTGTTCATGTTTTCTCTCTTATTGGGACATCAATTCTACTTCGTTGCGCTTCTTGCTTATAGCTATCATCTGCAGTCCAATCATTTTGGAGTATCCGCCTTTGTCGGTGTTGTTGTGAACCACCACCCATACAGCAACACAAACAACCACCAGAACAATTCACTACAATATCATCCACGTATTGTGTCATCCACATCGGCTTCAACAACGCCCAAGAACACGTTTCCCATGACCGACAGCAAGTATCCATCCGCGCAGCAGGCACACCAATGGAAGAAACAATCTCAGCTACGATCATCATCGTCTTTGGCAGATGATGAGTTGGACAACAATAATGCTGAGACTTCCAACCACAATTATTTTGCCGCTCCTGTCTTGGCGGATAATACTGTGAAAGAAGAAGAAGAAGAAGAAGTAAAATCATTGGAGCTTCAAGCATCGTCACCACATTTATTTTCGGCAGGCTTGGTGGCAGATGTCCAATACGCGCCGATACCCGATGGATATAGTTTCTCAGGAAACCCACGGTATTATCAATATGCCTTGGACGTGGCCAAGCATGCTTTTGCGCATTTTAATCAAGATGCGAATATTGATGATGATGATGATGATGGTCATCCACATGCAATTGAATTGGTTCTCAACTTGGGTGATACCATTGATGGAAAGTGCCAAGACCTAGCACAATATGACGGAGACCCAGAAGTCATTTCAGAAGCTGGCGATGATCCAGGAATGTATGCCATGAACCATGTGTTGGATGCCATGGCACAGTATACCAAGGGCCCGATTTTGCATACCTACGGAAACCATTGTCTTTACAATATGGATCGCAAACAACTGCAAGACAAACTTGGAATTCCCTTTGTGAAAGAACCAAAAATTGGCAACCAAGAAGGTGACGATGATGGGCATGAACTGGTGGGATATTATTCCCATCTCCACAAGGGAATTCGATTTATCACGGTGGATTCCTATGATGTAGGTATGCTGCAACGGTGCCCTAACACTTCCGAGAAACGAAAACAGGCTGAATCCATTTTACGGCAACACAATCCCAATTATTTTAAGGATGATCAAATGAATTCACCTGAGGGTATGGTAGACCTAGAAAAGCGCTTTGTTGGATTCAATGGTGCTGCCGGAGAGATCCAATTGAAATGGCTAGCAGAGACATTAGAAGATGCTCGACAAGCCAAGGAAAAGGTTATCATTTTGTCTCATCAACCGATATTCCCAGGGTCATCCAATGTTGTATGTCTCATGTGGAACTATGATGAAGTCTTGTCCGTGCTTCGAAAGTTCTCGGATATCGTGGTGGCAAGCTTATCGGGACATGCTCACAAGGGTGGATATAACCGAGATCCGGAGAGTGGGATTCACTTTCGTGTCGTCGAAGCAGTTTTAGAAAATAAGCCAGAGAAGACCTATGCCATTGTCAATGTCCACGAGAACGAATTGGTCATACGTGGGTTTGGAAATTGTCAATCCGCAGTCTACGATTTTAAACATCTATCAGGCAAGTGGACACCACCACTAGAATCTGAATCTCATTCTAGCGCTACCGATAGTGCAAGCATCCCATCCGAGCAGACGCAACAATCCAAGTGATTTCCTGCACATTTGACTTTTTCCCGAATGCTTGATTGCCTCCACTGGTGGTCAGAGATAGAACAATTTTCCAATAATACATATATCTATGTTATATAAAAAGTTCTGTTGTGTACAAAGTCAATTCGTTTGACCTACATTTCCCAAATGACTCCCTTCTAATTCCCGCCATCCCCTTCGACAGTCTGCAATCGACCCTCAATCGGATCGACTTTATACCGTTCATCCCCTGAAGGTCTCTCTTCTACGACAGTATCTTGCGACTCTATTGTCACGTCCTCGCTTTCGGTCGACACATCCTCAGCATTGGATTCGCTGTAATTTGGCTGTTCATCCAAAGTCTCAGGTTCAGCTTCACCAGCATCCTGACTGTTGTCTGATACTGTTGAGTTGCTGTTTTCATTATTATCGACCAGATCCATGTATTGATCATATTTCTCATCCTCTTCTGTGGAATCCAAAATTGACTTTGTGTGAAAATCTTCGGAATTCTCCGTTTCGAGTGTCAAATGCTGTGCCATGTTGGGACGATCTCCTTGCCACTCGAGCGATGGGGACCCACGCAGTGATGGATCACCCTGATTGTTCAGGCCGTTGGGATTATCATCTGGATTATGCTGTCGTGCTAGACCCAATACCAACAACAAGAATCCTCCAATCATGGCACGAATCAGCAATCGTTCTCGTTTCTGCATGGCTTCTTGCTCAGCAGCCTCATGTTCCGCAGCATTGATCGCATTTAGCTTAGTAACTGACATGGCTCTCCCTCCTTTCCTTCCAATTTGTTTTCCCTTTCGACGAGCCTTCTGATCTTTTCTAGGTAGTTTGGAATTATTGTGCTTCACTTCTGGTGACGCTTTGGCTTTCAAAACATCTTCATTATCGGAATACGCTTTGGAGTTCGAAACATCATCGGAATACCCCATTCTTAGAGTAATACTCAATAACTATTTGTGAATCAATCTTTTCTAGAATCACAGTATTGGTGATGCGAGTTGCAATAAACTTGGGGTCGTTGTGAGCGTTGGATTGTACGGTAGTAGTAGAAAGTTTAGGTTGGAACCAGTTACGAGTGGGTTGAGAGTTTCCAGACTACTTTCACGATACGGTAGGATTGCTAGAGATGGGCTAATATTTTTTCAGGGGTTCGCCAAAGTAGGTCAGGTTCACGTGAGCAGATTTAAAAAAATATTTGGGGCAGTGCTTGCGCGTGTTCGAACGGATGTTGAATGTTGGGCGATCGAAGCGCGAAGCGAACGCGAGCGAAACTTATTCTGCTCCCAGCCGACTCAGAGGACTACAACGTAACATAATCAGCCTAATTAAGTACTTTGGTAAACTTTCCGCGCCAATGTGAAACCGACCTGTACAGTATGCTCTAGAGTAGTTGCTTTTGTACCAATCCATCAAAACAACAAAATCATCGTTTTCGCAATCAACCTTCATTCCGACCCCTCAATTTTTTCATATTTCACTTCTAGGTACGCTACCGTACTGTAGCATCATATTCCAAAAAGTGGAGATGCGAGATGAGGCCTCCTTACCACAGGACCCTCAGCAACTCGTCTGTCTGTCGTCCAATTTAAACGGGGGGAAGCACTTTTCTCTAGTCTTCCCCCATTATGTTTTGCAGTCAAATTTAGGGGCCCCAAGTTCTACTTTTGGGTCGAATCGAAACACGACAAACCAGTTCGAAACACGACAACAGATTCCGAAACGCGACAACAGAATTTGAAAGACGACAAACCAATTCGAAAGACGACAAACTCGAATGAAACACGACAAATCAATTTGAAACACGACAAACTTGAATGAAACACGACAAACTCGAATGAAACACGACAAATCAATTCGAAAGACGACAAATCAATTTCGAAAGACGACAAATCAATTCAAAAGACGACGACAACAAAATTCATCACGCCCGCCTAAACCTGTTCATGGTCCAAAGTAGAAGCGACGGACGGCAGAAAAACCAGGAAAATACGCTCATGTGCGAGAACTATCGCTACGTCAAGGTCATGAAGGAAGGCGACAACATGCCTTTTTTGGAGGACCCGGTGAAACATTGGCTCCAGGCGGGAAGGAGCCTAATATCAAGTGGCATCATTGAAAGGCACAAAGGATTCCATTTGGAGATGTGACGACAATTGTTACTAAACTCGAATCCAACAATAAACAGGATTTGGATTATTATCAAGCTCCATGATCCGACTTCTCGCAATATTCTTATTGCCAAGCTTCCCGTTCTCAAGTTTGAGTTCTACTACAACCCAGATACGGTTGTCTCCAACTATAATCGGGCTACTGACGCCTCAACTGGTTCGACGAGTGTCACAATCAGTTTAGATGACATGTCAAAGGAAATGCATGATCGAGCAGAATTTTGAAAGAAATGCTTTTCAAAGAACATTTTATATCTATCTGTTGAGATTTGTATCACATGTTGCAGTGAAGTAGCAGGGATGGTAGGATATATGTATAATACACTGGTCTTTTGCTGGTCTAGAACTCTTGTTTATTGTCTTTACATCTATCTACAGCATCTTCAGTCAGAATATTATGGAGTGGTGAAGACTGCTCTTGAATGGAATGGGACCACGCATCCACAATTGCCGATTGTCCACTACCGAAATTCCAAACCCGTGGCTTATTATTGTATCTGTGAAGGTAGTATCGGGGATCTTGACTGCAGTCCGAATGAGAAGGCTCATTGATCGATCCAACGGTGACTACCATCCGTCGACAGCACCCAACTCATACCTTTCTGACTAGTTTCTTCCCTTACAAAATCACGTCTTGAATCTTTTTGATCGTTTCCCATGTTTTGATCGTTGACCAAAAAACTACTTTTCGAAGACAGTAAAGCCCCATTAAGAAGTACTTAAGATCTTCGTCTCCTTCGTTGATCTTGGTGTCTGCAATGTTGCTTAGTTGCAGGTCGGTCTAGATCCAAACTGCACGGCAAGGAGAGACTCCAAAATGGTGCTTGAAGTGGAAGACATTCGCCTTTCCCCTTCGCACATTTGATTCCCTTCCACACGTATCCCCAATGGAGAAAGGCCGTGATATTCGTCATCTCCGATGGAGTGAGGATGTGGTTCATGGGCGGATCTTCGTCCGATGATAAGATCATGAGAGATAGGCGAGAATGCTGCATATGTATTTCCATCCGACAACTTCAAGCTGAAACAAAGACGACAAGATTTTTCGAAAGACGACAAGATTTTTTGAAAGACGACAAGAAATTTCGAAAGACGACAAGATTTTTTGAAAGACGACAAGATTTTTCGAAAGACGACAAGATTTTTCGAAAGACGACAAGAAATTTCGAAAGACGACAAACCAATTCGAAAGACGACAAACTCGAATGAAACACGACAAATCAATTTGAAACACGACAAAATATTTTTCGGAAAACTGTAATGCCCCCTTTTAAACAACTCCCCCTAAAGAATGATGTATTCGCTCCCCGTAAATTCAATACGCAAAATCCCCCTTAAAACGACGAAGGACGGACGAGTTGCGGAGGGTCCAGGAAGTATACAAGTACGGTACGTTTGAATCTCCACTTGTATATATATGCTTAGTACGAAAGCAAGTGAAAATTTCTCCCCCCTCTACTTCAAAAGGAGGTGTCCTTTCCACACTCTTCTGATCGATCCACGTGGGAACTAAATAGAAATATGCCTTGGTGCACTAACAAATTACTTCTCCGAATACTTCTGATCTACCGGTATCGGGAACTGACACATTCTATTTATTGAAATTTTCCTTCCACTACCAAAATTAGCAAAACTTCAAAAGGAGGAGCTCTCCTTCTCCACTTCTGATCTTTCACTACAACGGGAACTGACACTTTCTCCGGGAGCTCATTACTAGAATTTATCTTCTCGAAGAGAATCCGCCCAGCAGAACCAATACGTCTGACCAGCAGAGATCCGTGACGCTTCTGGTCTTCTGTGACAACTGACACTTAATGTGTGGGCTCGATGTCAAAATTCGTATCTAGGAGAAATATCTGTCAGAAAGGCCCAATCGGTCCGAAGAGGGCGCTATCCGCCTTCTGATCTTTCTGCGCGAGCTCAGTACTTAAATGGGAACTGACACCTAACTTCTTGTCAAAACAGAAAAACCGTCTGAAAATGACTCAAATTCAACCGCAGGGCGTCAAGACACTACTAGATACGATAAGATGCAAATTGGGTTTCGTTTTCCTTTGTGTGGGAACTGGTAGTTTTATATTTTAAAACTTCTTGTCGAAGGCTTCGTAAGCTTTTTTATATCGTGTTGGAGTGTTTACTCGTGGTGTGCGCCAAGTGAAAAAGAAAAGGATTGTGATGGAACGAAAAAAACAAGGACTTCATGACAGATTCATTCCTAACAGTTATACGATGGTTGTTGGTTACATTTTTGCATTATTATTACAGTCTAAATAAGTTACAGTAGTGTTCTAGCATAGGTTCCAATCTTTGAGGCCCTCCGTAGTGTTACAGTAATGTTGTAACACCTCTTAGGCTGCCGCAGCATAGCGATCGTCCACCATCGTTTTCACAGTCCATAGGAACAGCTCTTGTTCTTTGGGATCGAGGAGGTCTGACATTTTGCTGAGTGCCAATCCCATCTTGATTAGTCGGTCCAGCCGTTGGTGAGAATCTGCGAGCTCACTGAGCACACAGGCCTCGTTGTTCAAGATTGATAGCTTAAGGATCACCCAATGTTTGGACAATGGTTGAGGATCGACAACGCTTTGCACCAAACGAAACAGGTCAAGAGACTGTTGCAGCAAGCGATTGCCACGGGCTCCAACTGGACTCCCCAGAAGAATGGACACAATGGCAAGATTGTACCACAATACCCAAATAAATCCTCGAGCACAGACTGAAGCATCCTTGTCGTCCTTGGAACAGACAGGTGTTTCAATTCTCAGAAATTGAAGAAAGAGGAATGGTAAGCTTCCGTCGCTGAAATTTCTCGTTCCTTTCATCCTGTGTGCAAGAGCTTTCGAGCAGTCCAACCAAGTGTACTGGTAGGTGCGATGATAGTTGCTATCCTTATCGTTTTGGGCCGCATGAGCAGCCCGGCAGGCCTTGGATAGCAAATGGAAAGCTTCGATAACTTTGCCTTCCTTCAGATTGCTCACAGCTTCATTATTTTGCTGTATCGTGAGCATGCTGAGTTCGTAGTTGGAATATTCCATTTTGTTGAAAGTTAGTTGTTTGTTAAAAATTGGTGATGGGGATGCTGTGTGAATCCACGAGCTTTCCCGTTGTCTGCCGATGACAATTTGTGATCGGAAAACCAAATTGGTAATTTTGTGATCAGAAGTGGAAGGGCCAGGTCCTAATGCGATCCCCTGCTGATCAGAATCATGTGGCAGTTCATTCTGGCAAAAGGCACTTAAGGTGGGTTCTTTGTCACGCTTCCCACGAAGGATACGTACTTATTTCGCTGACCTGTCTCAGCTGACGTGCACTTGCGATTGGTTAATTAGAGTGCAGCTGAAGGTTCGAAAGAGCAGCCAGTGGTGGCCGAGTACGAATTGTGCCTCTCTGATCCCAGCCAATAAAGCTCATACACTCTTCTTCTCGATCAGAACCCACGGGATTGTGGAATGGTATTTAATAAAGAGGGAAGGACAAACCGTCAGGCTCGTCATCGGTAGGTTGTTTCACTTCCACCCTAAAAACACTGACGAATATGTCTTTTCACTTAATGAAATTGACAATCACAATGTTTCGGATTAACTGCGCACTTTTCGGTTCAACAGTGCCTGATCAGGCTGCGATGTTCAAAACACCGGAAAACGACGCCGGCGGGTACTCCTTTGCCTGTTCGAACACGAGCGAACTCACTGGCTTTTTATCTTCTCGAAACCGGGCGAATCCAGTTGCTGACGTCGTGGACTCTCACAACCTTCTCCGAGGCTTGTGTACTGTTTTTCACACGACGTGGGGAAGAGCCATTAAACATAATTCAAAAAGCGGGCCCGAGCACCTCCACTGCCCACGTGAAAATTCTACACAGGAGGACATTACAAATTCAACGGAGCCTTTTCCCAGGACCACCGAAGTGAAAATTGAGCAGAGCGCAAGTAACGGAAGAGTTGCGCCTTTAACCAACCGCGCTTCTTCTCGATCAGAACAGTTTTTGCACTAGTGAAGTCTAACAAAGTCAGAAACAAATTCCATGATGCCTATTTTAATAAAATAGCCGCTCCGTATGACGATGCTCTCATACCATTCTTGCTCATACCTGGTGATTGAATTTCGGGCCTGACGTGTTTTATTTTAAGCTTTTATGTATTGGTAGAATCATCGTTCTTCCAAGAAAAAGGCTGGTTCTGGATTATCTTCCGCAAACGGCATCAAATTCAAACTACTTCCGCCACACTTGCAACTTTGGGCGCTCCTTCTTTGCCTACCGGTACAGTACCGGTATGAAACGAACGTTTTTCGATTCCACTGACTCCTCAAATTCAAAAGAGTCTGCGATCTTGGTCTGATCAAGGTCTTTGGAGACGTCGTCTGAACCAAGAACTAGCTGAAGAGTCTGTTCGTCAGTTGAAGTTGCCAGGCACTCATGCATGGTTGAACCATGAGCCCATGAGGCAAGTGAGTCAGCAGATTTTAAAAGTCTGACTCTTTCAGGGACGCACAACAACGTAGATAATGAGCCAAGACGCAACAAGCCTCGAAAGCTGAAGCAAATCTATCTCTGTTGTGTCTTGTTTTGCTTCAACAGACTGTAGAAATTATCGTGTCTCTTGAGAGCTCGACTCTTGAAGGGCCTGACACCAGCATTGTTGTGTGTGTTGTAGGTGCTCATGTGCTTTGGCTCTCTGTTGTAGTAGCCTCAATCTCCAAGGGCAGTTCCACAATCTTTCTCTCTTACCCAATAGCTGGAGTCAAACTGGGACGTCAGCTCATCTTCGGATAGGTACTTTTGTAGATAGTACAGTTGTCCAATCAAGAAATATTAGGGTCAAGTACTTCTCCCTTGATCCTTGCGCCTGCAATTTTGGTGATTTGTGTGTCGGTGTACACCCAAACTGTAGTGCAGGGAGAAACTCTGAAGTGGTGTTTGAAACATGGCACGCTTGATTCGCCTTTCCCTGTGAAACTTGGCACGCTTGATTCGCCTTTCCCTGTAGCCCTTCAGAGCAAGGCCAGATTCCATCATCTCCGATGGAGTAACGAGATGGTTGATGGGCGGCTCATCCATGAAAGAGACTGATTTGATGATAATATGCGGAGACTCGTAAGGCTCCATCCGAGTACGATGTGGCTATCGTACGTCGCAGTTTTTAAAATTAAAAATGATGTCACGCAATTTCGAAACCGATCAAAGAAATCGAAACAGATCAAGTCGCATCGAAACCGATCAAAGAAATTGAAACAGATCAAGCGAAACTGATCAAAGAAATCGAAACAAGTCACTGCGACACAAAACGGATCAAATGATTTTGAAACCAATCAAAGAAATCGAAACAAGTCACTGCGACACAAAACCGATCAAACAATTTTGAAACCGATCAAAGAAATCGAAACACGTCACTGCAACACAAAACCAATCAAATACAATATTTTGCTACAACAATGCCCCGGCCCAGGGGTGTATTCAAAATTATTTAGTAGTCAAAGAAGTCGGAGATGTGAAATTCGGAAACGGTCGGTCGATAGACGAGTAGCGGGGTCCTGGGTAGGTTATCCACAAGACGATGGCTAGAGAGTGCTCTACACCACAACACAGAATGGGACGATTTGTGCAGATCATCCCAAAAACGACTGACCAAAAACCGTTATAATATGAGCTAATTATGTTTCTGGGCCACAGGCCCGCTCGATGTTCATTCAGTTGGCTAATTTTTCCTCATCTTTGAAACTTTTGGATTGGAGTTTTTGTCAGTATTGCTTTCCGACGTACAAAGCTGTGTAGGATTTTTTACACAAAGAATTTCTCCGACGTACAAAGCTGTGTAGGATGTTTTACACAAAGAATTTCTCCATACAACTTTTTTTTTCGACGATCGGGTGGCCAAACCCAGTACTTAAAAACCCGTACGGAGCTAGCGTACTGGTACCTTTAATTTGCATTCCTGCAGTGTTTTCAGACCCTACCGGTACCACACCTTCCAACACAACAGAACTACTGAAAACATCCATCCCACATCATCCAACATTGTCATCTACCACGATAATGGTGCGTCGTTCGCAACGAATTGCAGAGAAATTACAAAAGGAAGTGGAAGAATACCACCCCGAATTTGTAGATGGCCTTGATTGCTTATTGGATGATGCAGACGCCCAAAAATGCACCAACATTGATTGTGCTCAAATTGCAGTTATCCAAAGCCAACAAACGGAAGTTCACACAGAAAGAACTTGACGATCAATTCACAAGGATAATGGATGATTGGCAACCAAATTTTCTATTATTGTGCTTTTCATTCGTTGGGCAAACTAATATGGACGCATTATCCTATTTGACCTTTGAAATGACCAGTCAAGACACACCAACAAGATCTGATGTTCCGTTTTCCGAGCCACCTGGACGCCATGCCAAGAAATTGGTACCCAACAATACGCCAATCCCTGTGGTGCTTCACGATGAATACAGAAGAATGTGGTTTATTGAAAGATTTGACCAGCTGAAACACACAGCGACCTGAAAAGATGAGTTGAGGGAACACAAGTTATGAAAATTGGACCCAAACGTCTGCATGCAAGTCAAGCAGTGCACAATCTTCATACTGAACATGTGCCAAAAAGCTCAGATGCAATCAGCCGGACACAGCCATCCACTCGGGACAGCTCTGCTACCATTATTGAGGAATTGACGAGCATGAATGTAAGATGATGGACTACTAGTTGTGAAAAATTGAACTAAACGTCCGCATGCAAGTCGAGCAGTGCACAATCTTCACACTGAACATGTGTCAGAAAGCTCAGAAACAATCAGCCGGACACAGCCATCCAATTGGACTAAATCTGCTACCATTATTGATGATTTGACCTGGGTGAATATGAGATGAAAAGCGTGCAAGTTGTATCCAAAAACCATCTAGTAGTGGCGTGGACCAAATTTCCAAAAACTTCTTTATTCTAACACATATTTGTTGTCTATAGGTATATCTAACAGCATTGGGGGCTTTGGAATGGAAGTTTTCTGGGTAAAAGTGATTGATCTTGACTCACACAGCTTTGAGGATCAACACAGCTACATCAAAGATGTGTCAGGAATCCTTCTCAGTTGCCGAGCCAGTACCTATATACAGTGACACCAAGTTAAAGTTGGTCGGAAGACATGTTGGTATCAACTTTGGGCGGTGGTCTCGAGCGCTGTGGTGGTCAAGAGATTCTAGGCTGGTATACAATTTTGCTGTGTTCCTACATTTTGTACTGCCAAATCAATTGAAGAGCCAAGCATGGCCAAGAGGGTGGAACTCTCTTAACCCTTTCACATGGCAATCGAACAATTATAACTAAGAACAGTTCTAATCAAAAGTACCTTTGAAAATAGCTATTGTTGTGACAAGGAGGGTGTCCTAACCTTATCATTGTCTCTTTAGTGGAATATTGTTGTCATGTGAGATGGCGGACTAGTCTTGCCCTAAAATGACAAGTTCACTGTCTCCGTGGTGGGAATCACACACTCATTTCTATTGTGTATGCTCCTGCTCTAGGAACAACTTGATTTGTAACCACAATAGTGTCGTATTGGCCTAAACTCGGATCTAAACCTTGATTTGTTGGGGATGACAATATGGATTTCCCTCGTTTCTGGTCTATTCAAAGCCAATACTTCCAAATTCAGAGGCATGAGTGTTGGGATATGACGAAATATGAGTTTTTACGTTCCAAACGAAACTATTCAAGTACGAGGTTTTCGACACGTGCGATCGGAATTTGATCGTGCAAGATGTCGGGATTTGACGCAAGTATGCCGGAC